CAATAGACTGGACAAAGCTGAAGAAAGATTTACAGAGCTTGAAGACAGGTTTTTGAAAGTATCCCAGTAGACAAAAAATAAATTTAAAATACTAAAAAAATCAACAAAGCCTTTGAGAAATACGGAATTGTGTAAAGTGACCAAGTTTACAAGTCATAGGCATTCCAGAGAGAAGGAAAAAGTAAAAGTTTAGAAAACCAATTTCAGGGGCTAATTCAGGATAACTTTTCTGGTCTTGAAAGAATTGATCTCTAAAAACATGACGTGCAGAAAACACATGGAAGGTACTTTGCAAGGTGAACATCACCAACAAATATAGTCATTATGCAGCCTTGTATGAATGTAAAAACAAAACCCCAAAAGCATCAAGAGAAAAGTATCTAATCACCTTTAAGCAAAATTCCATCAAATTAATAGCAGACTTCTCAACAGACACTTTACAACCTACAACACACTGGAGTCTTATTTTCAAGTTTCCTACATAAAAAACAAGCAAACAAAAAAACCCCAAATCTGCCAGCCAAGACTTTTCTCTCCTACTATACCTGCTTCATAAATGAAGGAAAAATAAAGTATTTTCAGACAAGCAAATGCAAAAGGAATTTGTCACCATGACACTGGCACCACAAGAAATGCTTAAAGGAGTTATAAACATGAAAATACAAGGGTAATACTCACCATCATAAGAACACAGTCTTATAAAACAATTACACAATTGAGATTACCAAACAACTATGTAACAATTAACAGTATGACAGGAACAAAACTTCACATATCTATAACCTTGAATGTAAGTGGACTCCACTTAAAAGATATACTCTGGAAGTGAACAGGAGTAACTAACCTTATGTCAGATATGAAATTTAAAGTAACAACTGAAAAAAAAATCAAAAGTCATTATATAATGATAAAGAAATAAATTCAACAAGAATATATAACAAATATATATATATATATATATATGTACACACACACACACACACACATACACCCAACACTTAGTAACCAGATTAATTTAACAAATGTTAGTTACTAGACCTAAGAAAAGCAAAAGACACCAAAAGTGAAGTAGACTCCAACATTCCACTGACAGCACTAGGCAGATTATTAAGACAGAAAATCAACAAAGAAATTCTGAACTTAAATTGAACTTTAGACCAAACGAACCTAACAGACATTTACAGAATCTTCTACCCTACAACCATAAAATATACATTCTTCTGAAATGTGCATGGAACGTTCTCTAAAATTTACCATATTCTAGGCCACAAGGCAGGTCTCAGGACATTAAAAAAATCAAAATAATATAAAGTATCTTCTTGAATACAATGGAATAAAACTAGAAATCAATACCAAAAGGAACCTTCAAAACTGTGAAAGTTTATAAAAAATAATCTACTTCTGAATGATAGTGTGTTAATGACTTAGGCAGAAATTAAAACATTTCTTGAAACCAATGATAATATAGACACAGTATCCAAAACACGCTGGGATACAGCAAAGGCAGCACTAAGAGAATAGTTGGTAGAATTTAATGCCTATATAAAAAAAAGAGAGAAAGATCTCAAATGAACAATCAATTTCAATCTCAAATATTGCACCTCAAGCAACTAGAAAAATAAGAGCAAACTAAACCCAGAGCTAGCAGAAGAAAAGAAATAACAAAGATTAGAGTGAACTAAATGAAACTGAGACTAACAATTAAAAAAGAAAAGATCAATGAAATGATTATAGAACAACAAACAAAAGTGCTAGGTAATTTCAAGTACTATGGATATATGGTGAGTCTTTAAGTAAACAGAGTTTTTTGCACAAACTTCTAATGCAGGTCTTGGTGGGAGATGATGATTTAAGATTCATGAAAAGAAATTTAAAAATCCAGTCCTCACTGAGGGAATAATAGAAGCAAAGATAAGGATGACTTCTTTGCTACAGTTATGACTGTTACATTAAATAGTAGCAAAGGGGCCAAATCAGCAAAAAATATTGCAATTATAAATATACAGGCACCTACACTGTACAGCTATATATGTGAAGCAGGCACTTTATATATTTGGCATTATCTATATCTTTATATATCTTTTAACATTGGACAGATAATTTAGATAGAAAATCAACAAAGAAACATTAGATTTAAATTGCACTATTGTCCAAAAGAACCTAACAGGCATTTATAAAACATTTCACCCAACACCTATAGCATGCCCTTTATTTTCATCCATACATGAGACATTTCCCAAGATAGACCATATGTTAAGACACAAAACAAATCTCAAACTTTTTTTTTTTAACTCCAAATAATGATCTGGGAAAACTGGATATCCATATGCAGAAGAATAAAACTAGGCTCCCACCTTTTGCTCTATGCAAAAATCAACTCAATATGGGTAAAATTTCTAAATGTCAGATATGAAACTACTAAAACAAAACAGATGAAATGCAGCATAACTTTGGACTAGGCAAAGATTTATTAAACAAGGCATCAAAAACATGGGTAGCAAAAACAAAAATAAACAAATGAGATTACATCAAACTGAAAAAGCTTCTGTACAGTTAAGGAAAAATATATAGAATTAAGAGACAATCTACAGAATGGGAGAAAATATTTCCAGATTACACATCTGATAAGGAGATAATATCAAGCATATACAAGGAACTCAAATGGCTCAACTGCAAAATAACAAATAATCCAATTTAAAAGTTGGTTAAACACCGGAATAAGTATTTCTCGAAAGAAGACATACAGATACTCAACAGGTATATGAGAAATTTTCAACATCACTAACCATGCGCATGAAAACCACAATGAGATACTACCTCCTCGTCCCAGTTAGAATGGTTATCATCAAAAAGACAACAATAGCAGATGCTGTTGAGGATGTGGAGAAAGGGAAACTCTTATACGCTGATGGTGAGAATGCAAATTAGAACAGACATTATTTTAAAAAAACCAACAATATGGACTTTCCTCCAAAAATTAACAATAGATCTATTATATGATACAGCAATCCCACTACTAGAAATACACCCAAAGTTAATAAAACCATTATGTTGAAGAATCATTCTGCGCTCCCATGTTTACTGCAGCACTATTCATAACAGCTAAAATATTGAATCTACTTAGATACCCATCAACAACAGTAACAAAATATAGAGGAAAGGTGATATATATACACAATGGAATATCATTCAGCCAAAAAAAGAGAATTAAATCCTATTACTTGTGACAACATAGATGAGCCTGGAGAACATTTTGTTAAATGAAAAAAGCCAGGTACAGAAAGACACATACTACATAATCTCACTCATACGTGTAATCTAAAACAGTTGATCTCTTAGAAGTCAAGAGTAGAATAGTGGTTTGCAAAGATTGGGGAAAATGGGGGTGGAAGGGATGAAGAGAGGAAGCTCAATGAGTACAATGTTACAGTTAGGAGGAACGTGTTCTGGTACCTACTATACGGGAGGGTGACTATAGATAAAAGTACTGCATCGAATATTTCAAAAAGCTAGAAGAGAAGATTTTGAATGTTCTCACAATAACAAATTAGTAAATGTTTAAGGTGGGGGATATTCTCAAATTCTGATTATTATGATTTGAACATTACGCCATGTATACATGCATTGATGCATCACATTGTATCCCATAAACATGTATAATTATATCTTTTTTCCCACTATATTTGCTATATGACACCTACTAGCCTAGCCTGTGGGTTGTTTTCCTCAAAATTATATTTTCATGATTAATTAAACTTTTCTCAGGTCTACATCCTGAGAACAGATTAGTGTATATAATTTTTTAGGTCAGTTTCTTTATTCTAGTAATATTTATGCTGTGTGACTTTGCTGTACCCCGGTATGCCTTTTACTATACTATGTATTTCTATCTATCAAGGAGTCCTAGTATCACATGTGGGATTTTTAAAAAGATGTCCAAGTTGTATTATAAATATTTTTTATTCAGAATATCTGGAGTAGGTGTATGATTATATTTCTTTTTAAAAATGTTTGAGGTTGATTCTAAAGCAAAAAATATTTTATCCAATTGATAATAAAAACTACAACCTCTAGCATTCATTGTAACAGAGCCGTTGCCAATAGAAAATGCAATCTTTAAGTATTTGTTCTTATTCTCTATTTTTGTTCTGCTTTTAGAGCTGCAGAAAATATGCTACCATGCACCAAAAACAAGCAAAAACAACAACAAAAGAATACTGTAGAATGACAGCTGATGTATTATATGTCACAGATTGCTGCTCCCAGAAAACAAACATATGGAACAAAGACACATATATTAAGTGGGTTTTGCTTCCTCAAGTCAAAGTCAGTTTTTCTTAATCTATTTTCATGGGTTTAATGGAAACTTAACACAAACTTTAATGTGTTGGTTAAGAATCAAAGCTTGCAAATATTTTTCTATAGTTTTTCAGTAGTATTTTAATTGGAAGTTGTACAAAAATGCATCAGGGTTGCTAGTTAAACAATGTTTCAAATTATAAATGGATAAAGTTTGTTAAATACATAATTTAATATGAGTAACAGATATCAAGATAGCATACATTCTAGATAGATTTCAGGCCTGGATCATATAGCCTAAACCTGTTTTCTAAAGAAGTTTCAGGCTTTGCTCCTTTATTAGGCTATTAACTTTTCTTTAAAAAAAAAAAATCTTTACCTATAATCTAGTTATTGGCCTTATAAAGAGTCAATATTACCTAAGCAAATACTTTTTCTTTTGTTAATAAAAACCATGTTTTTGCTTTAAATCTGTATAGATCATATATTCCAATCTTAACCAAAAATGAATAGCTATACGTTAACAATAAGTACTCCATTTTTTATTTGTAGTTTAGTTCATTATAAATTCATAGACTTATTCATTGCTCCATTATAAGTAAAGGATGTGAGAGTTCTCAGGGAAAGGACTGAGAACTGCTCAAAAAGAACATTAATACAACGTTGGTTAGAAGTAGAGCCAAAGTGTTCTTTTTCTCCCCTTAATTACATGTTTCACTGTCTGTTCCAGCAGAGGGTCCAAAATGTCCATTGTTATTTAAAGATTCTAAATTTGCTTCATCCCTAACTTTTCTTCCAATTTTTGATGGTTGGTATCTTTTCTTTGATATATTTTCTTCATGTTGTAAATTAACAAAATATATAAAGCAACTACTGGGACTCTTAAAGCTATAGTCAAGCTCAAGTAGAACTTTCTGTGAAAAAAGAACAAAAGAGAGAGTATCATTTTAAATTGTGAGAATAATTTACCATGTTTTTCTTCAGCATACAAAACCTAAAGAAAAAAATTGAAATCATACATAGAAATATTAATATATAATATAAATTAATATAACAATTTTAGTAATTTTTTTCCACTGGGGAAGAAGTAGTTTATATTAATTTTAAAGGATTATGAGGCCACTAAAGCTAAGCTCCAGTTGTCTCTATCTTTTTCTGTGGAGGGAGGAAAATACACAACTCCAGCCCCTTCAAGTTATCCTGTCCCACTAAGGGGTTGGAGATGAAAGCCTAGAAGCATGCTTTAAGTTTGCAATCCAGAGGTAGAGGTTCACTACAAGACTGGGACATAATCATGGGACTATAGAACATCACTTCTTGTCCAGCACCTTACAACACATTTCTAAAGGCTTATTTGCAGAGGTTCCTTTTACCTAACACATTCTGCCTGGCTGTAAAGGAAAAACAACACACACACACACACACACACACACACACACACACACACACACACACACAAGTAATACTAAAAGGCAAAAACACAATTTGAAGAGAATGAGCAAGTCTTACAAGCAGACCCAGAGATGCCAGATTGGAATTACCAAAATGGGAATTTTAAACAACTATTATTAGTACGCTAAGGACTCTAATAGACAAAGAAGACAGGCAATGTTAGCAGAGAGATAAAGATTCTGAGAAGCAAAGAGAAATGTGAAAGATCAAAAATAAAAATAATGAAGAATGCCTTTGATGGACATTAAATAAGTAGATAGAACACAGTTGTGGAAAGATCTCCTAAGTTTGAGGCTATCTCAGTAGAAACCTCCAAAACTGAAAAGCAAAGGAAAATAAGACTAAAAAACAAACAAACAAACAAAAAACACCAGACTATTCAAGAACTTTAGAACTATATAAGTGTTTGTAATGGAAATATTAGAATATTAGAAGAAGAAGAAAGAGAAACAAAATAAATATTTGAAACAAAAAAAAAACTGAAATTTTTTTCCACAAAATGTTTAGAGATCACCAAGAAGGATAAATGCCAGAAAAACTACATGTAGATATATTAATCTCAAATTACAGGAAAATCTAAAAGAAACCAGAAGGAAAAGCAGACCTTGTCTATAGAGAAGTCAACAAATTATATTAGACTTTTATTCAGAAAACAGGAAAGCAAAAAAGAATGGAGTAAAATAATTTGTGTTAAGAGAAGAAAAACTCTGAAATTCTGTACCCTGTGAAATTATCTTTCAAAATTTAGTAGAAATAAAAATTTCTTCAGATAAACAAAAATTAAGGGTATGTTTTGTCAGTACATCTGCCTTGCAAGAAATGTTAAAAGAGGAAGTTTAGATAGAAGAAGAATAACATAGGTCAGAAACTTGAATATACATAAAGAAACGAAGGTTATCAAGGAAAAAATAACTTCAGGTAAAATCTTTTTTAAAATTCCAAATTGATCTAACAGATAGCAGTTTGTTCAAAATAATGGCAGCAATGTGTTTGATTATATACAATATACATGCTTATTCACATGTTTATGTGTAAGTAAAATGAATGACAGTAATGATGTAAGGAACGGAAATAAAGAACTAGTGTTATTTTGCAATTATAAAGTACTCATACAACCTGTGAAATGGTATAGTGTTATTTGAAAGTGAACTTGAATTAGTTGTAAATGCATACTGCACATTCTTAGGGTAACCACTAAGATATGTTTTTAAAGTACAACTAAGAAGTTAAAACAAGAGAAAATAGAATCATGTAAATTACTCAAAAATTACTTAAAACCACAACAGGGAGAAAATGAGTGAAAGAAAAAATGGAATCAGAGAACAAGGGCAACAAATAGAAAACAGTAACAAATGTGGCCAATATTAATCCATTCATATCAGTAAACACTTATGATGTCAATTGTCTAAATGCACTACTAATAAGACTGAGATTATTAGTGGATATAAGAAAAGAACCAAATAATGTGCAGTCTACAAGAAACAAGATTGACAAATGGAACCTCATCAAACTGACAAGCTTCTGCAAAGCAAAAAAAGCCATTGAGAGAGTGGCGAGACAGCCCACAACGGGAACAAATATCTGCCAAGTGTATATCTGACAAACGTCTGACATCCAGGATCTACAAAGAACTCAAGTGTGCTGAAAGGGGGAGAAAAAACAGACAGCCCCATTAAAAAGTGGGCAAAATATACAAATAGACATTTCTCAAAAGAAGACATAGGAGCAGCCAGCAGACACATGAAAAAATGCTCAGTCCCACTAATCATCAAACAAATGCAAATCAAAACCACACTGAGATGCCATCTAACTCCAGTCAGGATGGCCATCATTAATAGCTCAAAAAACAACAGATGCTGGCAAACGTGGAGAAAAAGAAACACTTCTACACTGTTGGTGAGGGTGTAAAGTAGTACAACCTCTGTGGAAAACAGTGTGACAATTCCAAAAAGATCTAAAAATCAACTTTCCATATGATCCAGCAATCTCCCTTCTGGGGATATACCCAGAGGAACTAAAATCATTCTACTAAAAGATACAAAAACTGTGGTACATATGCGCAATAGAATATTATGCAGCCATAAAGAAGGAAAAATTGTGGACATCACAGAAACTTGGATGGATTTAGTCTATAATACTCACTGATCTATCACAGAAGCAAAGAACCTAGTACCACATGTTGTCACTCACAAGCGGACCCTGAACATTAATCATAATAGTGAAGAAAGGGATTGGCAGTAGCAGGATACGGCCAGAGGAAGGAGGAGGGGCACACCTCATCAGTAAGGATACCTGATCTCAAACCAGGTGAAGTGGGGACCAAAAGGAGGCCCGAATTTTACAGGTATGGTGACTACTACCTAATCTACCTAATTCTGAATAATATCCTACATCTTTAAAATAAAAACTAAAAAAAGTAATTTGGACCACTGGGAGGTCCAAATTTCACCTGTATGTTGACCACTTTGGTATCTAATCCCGAAAATAAAAAAAGATAAAATTTTTATTAGAAAAAAGGCATACTATGAACAACACTATACTCACAATTTTTATAAATTGGATGAAATGGATAGATTCCTTGAAAAATACAATCTACCCAAATACACATGAGAAGAAATAGACAATTTGAATAGGCCTATAACTATTAAACAAATGAATTAATAATACACTTCTAAAACAGAAATCACTAAACCAAGATGAGTTTATTGGTGAGTTCTATCAAATCCTTAAGAAAGAAATTATACCAAAACTTTACAATCTTTTTTTTGTGGATAAAAGCAGCAGTTATACATCCTATCTCATTCTGTGAGGCTAGCTTTGCCCTAATACCAAAATTAGATAAAGATATTGCAAGAAAACTACATAACAATATCTCTCATGAACATAGATGCAAAAATTATCAAAAATAACAAATCAAATCTATGTATGTAAAAATTATACACCACAACAAAGTGGGGATTTATCTCAGGTTTTCAAGGTTGATTCAACATTTAAAAGTATGTAATTCCTACATCAACTGGCTACAGAAGAAAAAAAGTAGCACGATCACATCATTAATACAGAAAATATATTTGGCCAAATCAAGCACCCATTCATGATTTCAAAAAAGAAAAAGAAAGTGTCATTAAATTATAAATAGTGGAGAAATTATTCAGCTTGATTTTTAAAATCTGTGAAAAATCAACCCCTAACTTCCAACTTAATGATGAGGAACTCAGAGCTTTCCAACAAAAGTCCTCAACAAGACACGGATGCCTCTTCTCATCACTGTTTTTCAACATGGAACTGGAAGTCTTAGCTAATGCAATTATTTTTTTTAAAAGGGAAGGAAATAAAATATAAGCAGGGAAATAAGAACTAAAACAGTTTTTATTTGCAAATGATATAATTATCTATGTAGAAAGTCTAAAATAATAGATGAAAACACTCCCAAAACTTGTAAGTGATTACAGCAAAGTTGCAGGATACAAGATTAATATATCAAAGTCAAACGTCCCATATATTAGCAAAGAACAAGCTGAATTTGAAATTCTAAAAATGTCATCACTTACATTGGCACCCCAAGAAAGGAAATACTTGGATATAAATCTAATAAAAAATGCATAAGAACTCTATTCAGAAAACTACAAAAAACTGATAAATCAAATAATTAAAAAATGAAGAGATGATCCATATTTATGTATAGCATAGGAAGGCTCAATGTTGTCAAGATGTCTGTTCTTCCCAACTTTATCTATAGATTCAAGGCAATCCCAATCAAATTTTCAGTAAGCTGTTACATGGATATTAGTAAACTAAGTCTATAGTTTATGTGAAGGGCCAAAAGACCCAGACTACCAAAGACAATACTTAAACAGAAGAACAAAATATAGACTTGGCACTACCTGACTTCTAGTTTTACTATAAAGATACAGTGATCAAGACAATGTAATTTTGGTAAAATAATGGACAAATATATGAATGGAAAAGAACAGGCAGCTCAGAAATAGATATACTTAAATATAGTCTACTGCTCCTTCATAAAGAACAAAAGCAATACAACGGAGAAAAGTGGTCTTTTTATCAAATGCTGCTGGAACATCTAGACATCAAAATGTAAAATGCAAAACCATAAAATTCCTAGAAGATAACACAGAAGAAAATCTAGATGACTTAGGCCTATGGTTTAGTTATGATTTTTTAGATGCAACACAAAGGAATAACCCATGAAAGACATAATTGATAAGCAGGATTTCATTAAAATTAAAAACTTCTGTGCTGAGAGAGATACTGTCAAGAGAAAGAAAAGAGAAGCCACAGACTCGGAGAAAATATTTGAAAAAGACATATTTGGAAAAGTATATTTTTCTAAAATATACAAAGAACTCTCAACACTCAACAATAAGAAAACAGAAAGAAAATAAGAAAACAAATCTATTTTTTAAAAAATGATCTAAACTAGCTGACACATCTCCAAAGAAAA